GATCTGATTTTGCTGGATCTCATTATGGATCTGATCTTGTATGTGTAGTGTGCAATCCATAAATTCCTCATTCCCGATTTGTTTTGTTCTTTGCTCCGTCACTCACATCCAACAATTTATTAATAGAAATTCTATGACAAGCGTCAATTCGAAGATGAAATGGAAGTTGAAGCAGGATATATCGCTGACAAAAAATATCATATCTGGCATGAGAAGTGGGCAGAACGAAGAGATCCGGTGCAGGATGCTGTTGATGGAGTTCGAGGTTCAAAGGAGAGGTTTGACGCGTGGTGTAGAGAGAATTTGAAGAAATCTAGTAAGGTTGGAAATGTTGTAAAAAAGAAGAAGTGAAGAAGGGATGAGGAGAAGACAGTTATTTCGTATAGCATACCAGCTGTTAGATTAGCACAATGCGGTCAATTTGCTTTGAAATAGGTTAATTAATGTTAGCAATGTATTCAAGTGGCGAAAATGTGAAAAGACGGTTGAAATGACGCGTATCTGAGGCTTGCTGCGTGAGTTCTCTGTTCCTCTGGTGCCATGCTGGCGCTTCCTTCTACATTCCAGCACTTTTCCGACAAAGTGTATCTGTCAATGGTGAATTTTCTTGTTATTTGGGGAGGTTTTAAGGAAGGCAATAATGGGCCAAAGGTTTTAAGGAAGACCGCTAAGCCAGTCAACAAGAAGAAGGCTGGACAAAAAGACAAACAAGCATGCTGTTTCTGTGATTGTGTAATTCCCCATTAAGGTATTATGAGTGCTAACTTTCAGTGAAACATAGGCTCTGAAACGCTTAGCTGCCAGCATGATCGTGATCGTAGCAGAAAATGGGAAGAAGGCAGAGGCTGTCAAGAAACGCTGTGCAGAAACAGCCATGAGATGTACAATCTTGGTCGAAGTAATAGAAAAGATTGCCGAAATACCTGGAACTAATGATGATGTTTTGATAGGATTGGATATCGATTTGCCTGAATATGCTAGAACTACAGACTCTTAATCTGTTGAGAGCGAACGCGTAGGAACTGCTCAAAATCGACGTGTGAGCAATATATTGTTCAAAGAAGAGACAAGAAAGATCTAAAATTTGTACGATGACATCATGTGTGTTATCAATCGCAGACACTGAGCAGGCTCAGTCGCGAGAACGCTCTCATCCAATGTCGGCTCAAGTAAAGATGGCACCAACGTCAATAGATGATGCTATTACACTGGAGGCTCTGGGAAATGGAGATTACCGGTTTCGTCCCATTCCTGAAGTAATTCGAACAGGAGGTTTGGAATCATAGTCATCCAAACGATTGATTCAAGCGTACGGGGCTTTTGATAACCAGATATTATCATTTTTAGGTGTCGTTGGAGGTATTACTGGAGCCCTTGCTGTCAAAGTTGCTCTGTTAGAGTTGGAAGCACGATTTCCTCAGCAGTATTCAGATCCATTAACAGCCACGGTAACACAGTTAAAACTGGCCGATGTCTACAAAAACGTTAAGCTTTTTTTCCTAGTTGCAACTTGTATCTTTGTCTCCGAATCCCTTGCGAATTCACGTGGACGTTGTTAAATCTGGACGCAATTTGGCCTTTACGTCTGTACGAGCTTCTACAGAAGACAAGGGTACCATTATCTGGACTGCACAGGTTGTAGCCACAAATATGGATAGTCGTCCGCTCAAACAGAACTTTAATCTTAAAGCCATTGAATGTCCTCCTATTGAACCAGTATGTATCTGACGACCATTAGTATCAAGAGTGTTGCTCATAGTTCTCGAAGTAGATAGAGAACTGTGCGCTAGCCGAAGCTTTTAACAACCATCCTATGGTCAAATATGTCGGAAAAATGTATTATGATCAAGCTTTGCTAGATAAAACCTCTGTTTTTCAAAAGTGGCTGACCAATTTGCCAAACCAGGAGCCTGAACTTGCACGAAAGGCAGCAAGAGAAGTAGATGGAGTAATACCAGCTTTTTACTTTCAGTTTCATAAAAGACACGTTGATTATGGTTCTCTGGTATGGGTATCGGATATGTGTGTTTTCGCCACAATAATCAACATCATCGGCCAATATGCTCCAATGAAGACTTCCGGAACTGTGAATTGGATAATTAATTACTTCAATCCTATCCGATTACCCATGAAATTCGTCAAGGTTACGCCCTTACAGATCATGACAGACGGTAGACTGGAGCTTAGAGAGAAGATGTATGCGCCTGACGGTGTAAGTACTCGGATTTGGAAGGGTCTGACCATAGTAACTGACACTCAATCCCATTTTACTTTAAGAAACTGCTAGCAATTGGCACTCAAAACCGAATTGCTTGGGACGCAAGTCAACCCACTGAACCCAAGATGTAAAACAGCTCTGCAATTGAACGGAGTCTGGAACAACGATACCACTTGAAACTGTTAGCAATGCTTCTAAACGTATATAGTGTAGAGCAAATAAAAGGAGCACTTTTTTTAAAACCACATCCTTGCTTGGGCCGATTAAAAGAAGGTCCTGGTCAAGTCACACTTGCGTGTGCTGTAATGGATAGAGATTGCAACGCAACCACATCAACGTCCGCCATATTTTAACAGTGAGACTGTAGGAATGACGCGATATCTGAGTCTGCATCTGAAAACTTTGGTCCTGTTGGTCTTGTTTTGGTAGAACTGGTACGCCTCCCTTCGATGTTTGATTCCCAACAAGCTAGTGATGCAAAGAACCTATGCATCAGTTGCAAAAGTAATATAATCAAGTTAATTCAAGTGTACTTTTGGCCTGAGCTGTGCCTTCTTGTTGAGGTACGTGTGGAACCAAAGGGTGTCGCTTGTTCCTAGCGATTTGCTGGTTATTTGTGTATCAAGCTTTAAACGAGCAAAAGAATGACTATATTACTATGTTATATTTTGTTGTGCTGTTTGACTTTCTTGACGAACTTATGTAAAGTCTCGTTCTGACCTTGACATCCAAACATTCAATATTCATCAACTAGCAGCTCTGCTTCGTGCTCTGCAAGGCTCGTATGATGCATTTGTTTTAGTTCTCGAAATCCAACAACATAAATAACAACATTCAGCCGTATGACTTGGGTTGGCATTCAGCAAGGGACGAGGGGTCGTTACAGTCCTTCAAGCGTCGTGTAAAGCATCCACAAGGCATATTATCGCGTCACTTGAGTTCCTTTTAGCAGTATGATGTATCTACACTCTTTTACTGTTGTGGTCGAAACACATCATGTGCTTCAAATCAAAATACGACCATTTTTCCAATTGCACTATATCTAAGCAAACGTTACTTATGCTAATACAAAACATTGCTATACAAAGACCACAAAGGATAAAAACCGCCAACAGCTCACACCGTCTCTCAAAGCTCTTTATTCTTCCATTGGTGTAGTGTCACCCGACTTCTTTCCAAACACCTTTTTGGGAGTAGCTGGGGCTGGTGCTGTGCCTTCGCTCTTGACGAAGCCATCCTTGGCTTCTTGGAACCTGACATTTGAAAAAGGTTTATCGAGTCACTGTCGGTCCCAGTTTCCTTTGGCAATCCCAAAGGTTAAAGAAGTTTATCCAAAGCAAAACATACATACCATTCTTCAAGAGACTTGGGTGAGCGATTCAAGATCTTCTTGACATCTTTGGTGACATATCCCAACGTGCCAGAACCAGCCAGTTCGAATTCTTCCAAAATGAGCTCAATCTCACAGTAATCAAGTCCCTAGAGAGATGAGTTTTGAGCAGAGGCGTCGTTGTGCAAGTGGGAACTTCAATCCAACACGCACTCACCTCAATCAAAGAAAGTGCCTCGTACGCAGCTTCACGACTCAATTCCCTGTATTCAATTTTCTTGCCAAGAGCCTTGGATGCACAGTTTGCAATATCAACACCACTGAATGCATCAGGACCAGTCAAAGTGATTGTTTTGTTCTTGAAATTGGGATTCATTTCCTTCTTTGGTCCGTTTGATAGTGACGCGATGTGACATGCTACCGATGCAACATCTCGTACGTCTATCATTGCAAGTGCGGCATCATGTGCTACAGTAGGAATGAAAACTCAAAGTGATCAGATGCACTCCGATAACCAATTTTCAAGCATGATTGACACAAAACATTAGCAAACGGCCATGGAACGGGGAAGTGTGAACTTACGTAAAGCAAGAGCGAGGACACCAGTTTCTTTGACTTCATCAGCATACAAGAACAGGTTTTGATAGTAGTGTCCAGCCCTAATTTTCCAAAGCAAACACAGTAATGAGACACAGAACATGAATGGCACCAATGCAAAACCGAGTGTGACCTCTCTCCAAGCTGACCTCAAAATGCAAAGATTGGCATCACGAAGACACTTTTTCGCAGCTTGCTCAATGGCAGCGAATTCATGCAATGCATGGTATTCGTAGTGAGGACAACCTTGAGCGGAAATCAAGATGACATTGTTGATATCAGTTTGAGCAATAGCTCGTAGGCAGTTGATTGCAATCTTGAGCTTTAATAATGCAGAAACAAAAGATTTTAGAAAAACCTTTCAGAATCAATTCATCACATGAATAACAACAACTTACTTTGTGAGGAGATGATTCAGGTACGACAACAGCGACATCACATCCTTCCATCATCTTCTTCCATTGTTGTACGCTTGCGAATGTGACGTCAATGTCACTGTAGATTTTGACGCCCATCGATTCCAAGGTGACTGATTCGAGATTTGGAGTATATGTTGTGCGGACTAGAATGAGAGAGAAGGAGGATGAGATTTGAGCATACTTATAATACGAGCGTACGGGTCTTTCTGCAGCACACAAACCTTCTTCGAAACAGTGACGAGTCGGGGAGTCCTTTGCGAGCATCTCCTCACATATTGCGTCTCCCATACGAGTTTGCCCTCCAGTAACAAATACTTTGGCCATATTGTTGGAGTTTATTGGTTGAATCGATCTGGGTTGATTCATAAGTGCAGACAGTGTGTTTGTGTGGGCGTTGGTGTGTTGGGTGAAACGAACGTGCAACGCGAAAGACATGCTATGAAAGTTGCAGAAGCCTCTGTACAGTCTCAACATCCATTCCTTCAACTCTGACGACCTTTTCTCGCGATTTATGACCACTGATCAATGTTACTTGGTACTTTTTAAGCTTCAAGACTTCAGACAGGAAATCAACTAGCTCTTGGTTTGCTTCTCCTTCTTTCGGTTGTGCGGCCAGCTAGATTCAGGAGGGAATGGTAAGAAAACGTGAATGTCTACTCGAACCTAGGGGCATTTCATGCGAAATCACGGTTGCGAACGTACAACCGAGAAATCGCAAGACAGAAGTAAAATTTTGTGACTAACGTTCTGAAATGATCAGTTCAAATATCCAACTCGCGGCTCTCCACCAGTTCACCGTAAAGAAATTGCAAAAAAAGTCCCAAATGCTCATTACAACCACGAGACGACACAATCCGAAGGCAAGAGACTAATCACAACATTTTATACATGCGCCTCACCTGAATTCCAACAGAATCATCCCCAAAATCCGTCACTTGTGTGGTTTTCGCCCCAGGCTTGACATGTACAGAGATTTTAACTCCTCCATCCTTCAATAGCGATATCGGCGAGTCCACTATAGCCTCTTTTACAGGTTCATTAACCTTGGATTTACTGGAACTTGCAGACTTTTTGCTGTCCTTGCCCATAACTCTTAATAAGCGTCTTGGTTGTTGATGTTGATGAATACGGCTAGAAGGTAGCGATACTCGTAGGATATGGGAGACGCTACGATACAACATGCATCGCTACATCAAGGAAGAGCCTTGCTCTCTCAGTATGTTTCGTGTCTGATGTGTTGTATTAAACTTAATTTGAAGAAACAATGTTTGCCCAGTTTTTACATTGAAAGAGAAAAAAAAAACATGAGAGAATGTGCCAAAATAATAAATTCAAAATAAAAGGAATCGTGATGAGTCCATAATTCCATTCAACGAGTATCAACCACATTGTGTGTTTGTCCTAACGTGGCGACAACGCCCTCCGATCATCAATACTACTACACGACAGCCTCCTCTTCACTATCCGTTCATGCGTCAGACTCGGTGAGAATGACAGCTGACTGACTCCTGAATCTAACGGCGACCCGGGCCTCGTTCCGGCATTAAATGGTGAGCCGACCTGCGACATATTATCACCTTCATCCGTTAATGTTGTTCGGGTTGTCGGTATTAGATTTGCTAGATTTGGTTGCTGTGGTGTTTTATTGGTTGATGGGAGCTTGTTTGCTCGTTGGACTAGAGGTGATGTGGAGGGGACGATGAGGCGCCAGCATTGTTTGGTGATTGTGAAGCTTGCTGGGAGGAGGCCTAATACAAGGATGTTAGTAATTTGAAAGTTCGGATTGAATTGAGATGGATGAATACCTATATATTCATCGTCGACTTCAACGTTGATTTCATCTTCAAACTTCATTGGTCTGGCCGTCACGGACGACACTTGTTGCATAGATGAATGCTGGTCTCCAAGACGCGCTGTGACTTGTCCATCTGTAAATGCTGGCCAGAGTCGTGTTATGCCTTCCCAGAAAGTCAGGTCCTTTGTCACGAGTAAATCAAACTACGTGAAGCAAAAAAATCAGTATTGCGTTGGCCGCAGAATATCTCGAGATCAATTTCACATACAAGACCATCTTGCGGATCAGCATCAGGACATGCTTTAGACTGGGTGCCATACCATCGACCGTTTCCTACTGCGACCATAAACACGTCATTCTTTACTCGGGTTTCAATTACACTGTCCTTGGTTTTGAGAGCGAGTTCGATTGGTTTGCACTTGTACCGTAGCGCTGTGTATATCCTGTTGTTTGAATAATTTATGAGTCAGGATCATGGTCAAGGCAACAGAATAAAAGAAGACTTACGCATTGAAAAAATACGCTGGTATATCCCTCACACCGTCCCACCGACTCGAATGCTTAGCTACAGAGCCTCTATATGTGTATATGCTGTCTTTAGAATCCCTTCGACGCCATATGAACCAAACCATTGCCAACTTACGAAACACCAAATGTAGCCATATTGACAAAATACCGTTCAACGAAATCCGACGCCGGCGGCCCTGTTTCACCCTCCGAGTTCTCTTCTGTAGACACTATACTCTCGTCCCTCGTACACACCACATGTCCAGCATCCAACAAGACCGAGTCTCCACTCAATATCACATCCAGCGCAAAATGCGGATTCAGCATACTAATTTCCATATCCGTTGGATCTCCTATACATTCTTCTTGCTCACAATCTTCATTATCCGGTGCATCTGTATCCACATTGGCAGCTTTAGGAGACTCTTCCCACCTCACTACAGTTTTCAGAAACGCGCACTTCCCATGTATCGGTACGTGTCCCACCGACGCCCCGCGTAAGAGCCCTTGAGCGCTTATGTACCCAGATACGACATGGGATAGCGTCCTGTCGCTGCCTATTGCGACGAGCAGGTCTGAGCCTGCAAGGATTGCTAGTTGTGCTGCCTGCGCTACATTCTTGGAGATTCGCAACGACCACCGGCCGGGAAGTTGTGCGAATACTGTTGATGATATCTAAATGAATGCGTACACAATACACGGTTAGTAACTGTCCGGCCAATTGATCTGTTTCGCGGTGTGGTGGAAACTTGTGATAAACACCAGCCCATATAACAACAAAGCGTAAACAACGGGGCAGTCCGATCATCGTTACAAGATCTTGAAGCATAAGGGCCGTCGTTCATCAGTCAACTTCAGCCCCCTTCGAGTCATCAGACTGGGACTGGCCACCACCCCTTTTCGTGCAAAATGATGTACACAATGCTGCTCACCTCATGCCAACAAGATCGAGCTTCTCCTTCTCTCTCGTTCTCATCAAGTATGAAAGTGACCTAGCGACCGGAAAACATTAGCTTAAACACCGTTGGATTCGTCGTCTCCGAGAGCACTTCTTACTTTATCGAACTTTTTTGGACTTGGGCTAGCTAACTCTTCCGAGCCTGTATCAGTGAATGCGATCCCCGCTCCCACCGTCCAAAAGTCCTCTAGAACTATTGGAAACGGAACTGAGGGCAGGTCCATCTTGTAATAAGTGCTTGCCAAAGGTTTTGTGTTTTTCAAGAACTTGTTAACATGTGAGAGCCTAGGGCCTGGAACAAAACACGACCCTTCCATAGAGGAGGGCGTTGCTCTGATTTCGGATATATATGTAGGAAATGCGCGAATACATTGATGTACATTTGGTTTATAGCTGGCTATTTTTTGGTGTTTGGTCGTTTCCAAAGCTCGAGAGCGTTTGATACATATGCAATCAGTTTGACGGCATGATTTTCACATCATGTTCCTCAATCTCCATGTTATGGTGGGCGCGAATATGATTCACGACCTAATGCCAGGTTCGGCCAGCATATTTCTTGCATCTTCGACATGCTACTCTACAACCAAGCGAGACCTTCAATTCTGAGAATGGTCCCGTATTGTCCTGCAGCAATTGTGCAGCAACTTCAGTACTCATCTCCCTCTCCTTCTTGACATCCAACAAGCCAGTCAAATCTTTGTCACTATTGGGATGCTTGAATACTATATGATATACCTCGTTTTCAATGCTATCACACATAACAGTGCTCCTCTAGCGCAGCCTGGACACGTAAATCGAGCCTAATTTGGTGCTAGTGAGTGACGCTGGCATGTTTTGGTCAAAGAGTTGTCGATGGTACCAATGTGACCTAGTAATTCATTGACGTGTTGATCAACGCTCAGACATCATTTCACGAGCTGGTCAAGTAGGAATGTAGTTTTCAATGTATTTGGGAGCGATTTCGAGGGAGCTGGTTTACGGTATATATACAAAACCAACTCCTCGCGGTCAGCCAATATATCGTCCGGCACTTCATCACCAGTGGCGAGTGCAACCAGAGTCTAGAGGCAAATACTAATTGAACATACTGTCAGTCTCAAACTCACGTCCTTGTCGGCCAAATTCGAGTGAGTTCCGACAACATGCTTGAAGGCCACGAGCAAGACTTCGCCTTGAGATGCTCTGTCTTCATACATGCAAGCAAACACCAAATACTTTGCGTCTACCATAGTCAAATTGCCACGTCTAAGTGTCGCATTCTTGACATTCGTGGCGTCCTTGATCAATGGCGACATGAGGGCTCGCACGCGATTCACCCACCATTCAGGCAAAGCTTCACCATAACGAGCTGTTTGATACGTATTATTTACTTCAAACTGAGACATATCGGTAGTTTCCGTGATGAAGAGTGATTGATACTGAGGAGAGACTTGACATTGTTCCATTGAGGGACAAACGGTGCCAGGACCATGGTTGTGGGTTCTATATACATTGCATGCCATTGGAAAAGCGACGGCAAGTATTGGCTGAAGGTGTCCGAGGCGAGAGCGTGCCAAATCTGCAGCAGCTCGTACCATACCGCTTCTGATCGTTGGAAGCTGTTTGGTGAAACGATCCATTGCCTGGTCATAGATTTCATCTGGTGACTTGTTGCTATTGGCCAGAGCCTCGAGTCCACTGACTTGACTGATTTAGTTTTCAGTACAGTCAAATTCCTTGAGTGATTGTGTAGTCAGCTTTACAATTTCGCCACGACGTTGGGTCAAACGTTCGTTTTTGATCCAAGCCTTCAACTTCCTAGGAGCTGCGAGCAATTCTTCGATGCCAACAAGGGTCGAGGAGGCCAAGTAGCAAGCCATTCCTCCTCTTTACCATATTCGACGGCAGCTCTACATGCTACTTGAGCGACTTTGACATTTTCCTTGACGTATTACTTTGTTCTATTGGTCTTTCCAGGCAAATCATTTGCTTTGGCATACGGAATACATTGAAATATATCAGCTTCAACGTCATTATCTGTGACAAGCTCATGGAAGCTTTTGGCACCTTGGTGCCTATGCACATTTGCGTGCACAGGTTTCACAACAGTATTTACGGAAGGCCCATATAAGAGTTGCTTTTGCGTCTTTATCATGGCAGTCATCACATTTGTTAGAGTGAGTACACAAGTTGAGAACATTCTTGAAGGTCAACAGGAGAGAAGGACAAGGGTGGAGTATTGCATTGGAGGTACTATCTTGTCGTATAGTTTGAATTCGGCAATGACCTCTTTGAAGCGAGATGATACTATCTCCAATCGACCGAGAGTGAAGAAGTCGTTCCTCCTAAATATTGGTAAGGTCAATAAGTGCGATTTTGAAGTGAATTACTCAACATCGGCATACAGATCTTGCGCTGGACGCGTTGGAATGAGGTGAAATCGTCTCTCCATATCCATATTTGGGAAAGATCCCATTCTGCTGCGTCGACTTTTGGAGCTTGGTCCGAGAAAACCTTTGAGGTCATCTTCTCATATTAAGGACGTTGCTAATTGGTCATTTCTGTAACTGAGTAACAGCAATCGAAACAATCGTGTAAACAATAACAAACCACCAACAAACACAAAGGTTTGCAAATATGAAAAGCAGATCTATGATGTTTTGACTTCTAACTATACAAAGCAAAGAATCTCTCCAGCAACTAAATTAACGTCTGCCATAAGGATTGTAACGAGCTAAACAAAGCAAGACAGAGTTAAAACACAATCCATATTCACAAGATACATTCAACAATAACTTACCACCTCCACCTCCATAACCACCGCCGTATCCACCACCTCGGCCTCCTCCTCCTCCACCGTATCGTGATCGACCTCCACCACCATAAGCCTTTACTCGAGCAATATCGACAAAGGCTGGCGGCATTTCTTGACCAGCTTCAGACATGATCTTATACAAGTCGCTAGCAGACTTGTAGTTGTCTGGAGCAAAGAAGGTGTATGCTGTGCCCTTGGCTCCAGCACGACCAGTACGACCAATTCGATGTACATAATCTTCAATGTTATTTGGGAAATCTAGAAATGGAAAGTTGATCAGTCTTTGGACACTTGAAGATGAAAATGCAAAGGGATAGACTTACCGTAGTTGACCACGTACTAGGAAACGATTTAAATAAGAAAATGTTAGTCAATGATTACTTCCAAGCTACATAACAACAACACCAAACAGTACCTTGATGTCTTTGACGTCTGTTGCAATTAAAGAGAAAGAAAAGGGAAACAAATGTTAGGACCACAATGAGTCTCCTTGGTACAACAATTCAACAAAAGGGACAAGACAGGAGCACCAAAAATGACCAAAAGAGAACCCCAAGGAAACATTTGTTTCGGAAGACCTGGTCCAAAACAAATATAATCCTAGAGCAGCACATCATGACAAGCTTGGTGGAATATAAAAGGAGAGACACAAAGACTCGAGAACAGTTGACTTTGATGGTAGCTTTTCCCCTCCTTTCGAAAAAAGTCTTTTTGAATCACGAGAGAATGACCCCAATCTCAATGAAAAGACAAGGAGATGGGAAGGGCACAGTTTGAAGTTTTTGAATGCTTCTTGTGCTCTCTTGGTTCCCTTGGTCATTCACATAGAGATTGCTTGACTTTTTTACATGAAAGGCAAATGAAAAAGTTCCGTTTCAAAACACGTTCCCCTACAAGTTTTGGTTTGGAAAGAAGGGTTTTGACCAGTTTCAAAACAGAATCTTCCAAATTTCAATCTCTTTTCCCTTTCGTTCCACTGATGTGCTACAGCTTGGTTCCAGTTTGGCTTTCTGATACCTGACTTGATCCTTGCCACGTCACATTACCTAAACCACGAGCAGCGACATCTGTAGCAATCAAAATACCGGCGTTTCCTGATTTGAATTCAGCCATCACCTAAAAGAGAAATGGAAACGTAAGAACGCGTGGAGGGAAGGTCGGACCAAAAAAAAGTAATCATGAATCAACGACAATATTTACCCAATCACGTTCACTTTGTTTCTTATCACCATGGATAGCCAACGCATTGATACCATCACGTCGTAATTGGAAGGTCAAGTCGTCAGCAACTCGTTTTGTGCCCGTAAAGATGAGAGTTTTGGTTCCACCGCCTTCCCTTTCGATATTTTCTAACAAGTTAAGCAATCTAATTGGTAGGAAAGTCAGTGAGTTGACTATGCGCATGGTTGTTACAAACACTAGTCTCAGCTTACTTGCTCTTCTTTTCAGGTTCAGACAATAGCATCAACACTTGAGTCACATTGTGACTAGCTGACAATTCCATGGAACCAACGTTGACTTGAATGAACTCCTTCAAATAATCACGAGCCAATTGTTTGACTTCCTTTGGCCAAGTGGCAGACCACATGAGAGTTTGACGATCTGGGCGGATTTGATCGACAATCTTTCGAATTTGAGGCTCGAAACCCATATCAAGCATGCGGTCAGCCTCGTCCATGACAAGGTATGTGACTCGCATCAAGTTGGTCTTTTTGCTATGAGGTGAAAAGAAAATTTGAGTTCAACTGAACAGCAAGAAAGAAAAAAACTTCCAAAGTGCTCTCCTGGCATGCCATTGGATGGCACCAAGACAGACCAAACAACAAAAGTTCACCGCGGCTCACCTTTCAATCATATCAATCAAACGTCCAGGAGTGGCAATAACAATCTCCACACCACGTTCCAAATCCCTCATTTGTGGACCACGGGAAGCACCACCATACAAGCAAGTATTCTTAATCCTAGAAGAATGTCCAAACTTGGCACACTCTTGTTGAATCTGTACAGCTAATTCACGAGTAGGAGCCAAGATCAAGACAATAGGCCCATCACCAGGCTTCAACAAGGGTTGAGCATTGATGTGGACAATGGCAGGGAGGACATACGCTAATGTCTTTCCAGATCCAGTTTCTGCAATACCGACAACGTCACGACCAGAGAGTGCCATTGGCCAGCCTTGAGATTGGATTGCGGTAGGAGCAGTAAACCCAAGCGACTGGACTTCTTTTAGGACATAATTTGGGAAACCAGCTTCTTCGAATGTTTGGACTGGTTTGGGAATGTAGGTTCCGGCAATGGTGAGTGTCTTTTCTCGACGGTATTGTTCAATCTGAGCGTCAGTGCGCGCAGCAACGTCAGGATGTTCTTCATAGACTAGATAGAAACGAATGATGGCATTTTAGTTAAATGACCATTAATATAATACCATCAAGCCAATCATCATCCTTCATTCCACTCTCAATTACTGGACCCAAACAAAGGAAAGGACATCAAAACTTACAATTCTTTTCGAATTTAGGCAGAGTCTTATACTCTTCTTCCCAATTTATGCTCCTCAAAGTACTTCCGAGCGCAGCTTTTCCATTACCACCACTGCCATAACCACCACCGTTTCCATATCCACCACCACCGCCATAGCTTCCTCCATTACTACCATACGAGCCTCCACCATATCCACTATTATCATAAACGAAAGGTTTAGTTAGTTCCGTTTATCTTCATTTCATACATTGCAAAATGTACACCAAGAATTTTTTTCTATCAAATGTCCAAATGTCATTTCCGTAGCATCAATATACATACCCAGAGCTGTAGCCACCACCTCCAGAGTATGAGTTGCTTCCATAATCTCCACCGCCGCCACTAATACAATATGTCGTTAATGCCTCCGTTTCATTCTCACAAAAAAAGTGTTTGGTTTGCCACGCAGGAGCGCCATCTTTTGCATACCTTCCCCATCCATTGCTATATCCAGACATGATTATATGATGATTCTGTAATATATAATGCTATTGACTTGTCTTCTTTGGGCTTCTTTAATACTCAAGAGCTCGTTGCGAAGGTTTTTTTGATGAATAAAAGTTGGCCAAGAAAAAAAGTGCTTGTCGAAAGAGCAACGCAAAAACACCATTCTTTGAATAGGAGAGACGCGTTAAGGAAGCATAGATCTATATAATGCCAGCATCTAAATCGAAATCTACCAAAAAGAATGTATTCAAAGTGAAGAAGGGTGGTATTTCTAAACCCCAGCAACATAAAAGACCCAAATTCATCCCAAAGGACAAGCTAGAGTCGCTGGACCACGATCTGTTACGTGCTTTACGTAAGGAAGATGAAAAGGTAGGACTTTTCGCTTGAAGATCTTACCGTGTTGTATTTTTGAGGCAGACAATTGCTCACAAAAAAAACTAGATCAAGGCCTCAACGGCACAAGCAGATCAGGCAAAGTTAGCATCGATAGAACGCCATAGAGCACTCGTGTCACAAAAGGACGATCAAATACAAGAGTCGAACACAAAGCTAGAGGTATCACTTCGAATGTTTGAAGCTCTCTGATCCAAACACACACTTCCTCACCCCCCTCTCAATCCTTGTAAACAATGATCTCTGTATATAAAATGTCTCGACTGTATAAACCCCTCAAATAGAAAAACAATTCACACCATCACCCGTCTTTTATGTCTCCTCATTCTGACGGCGTTCCAGCTTGAATATGTCCCACAAGCTCATCACAGATTCGAGACAATTCAATATTCTCTGCTGTCTTGGTCTTTACTTGTTGTTCGAGTGTAGAGACGTTTAGTTCTGCTTTGCTGATTCGTGCTCGATATGCAGAAATCTCCTTATCGTGATTGGCTCGAACCTTGGCAATCTCAACGTTGGCACTATGAATAATGTTAGAATTAGCGACATGCGAAAAAACATCGATCCGTGTGCATAATAGATCACAACAAACCTTTCCAGTTTGGCCTCAGCATGAGCTCGAAGTTGATCATACCGCTGCTGAGCAATGTCCAAATCGTGTTGCAGTAGATCCACTTTCTCTTTCATGTCTTCCATATCCTACACCATGCAAAAAACAGTTGAATAAAGTGAAAGCACAGTTGACGTGTCAAACTCTCACATACCTTCTGACTTGACTCCAATAAAACTGAAGCTTGTTTAGCTTGTAATGCCACTCGATCATTATCCTTGACATGTTTGGCATTGTCGATTTTGAGTTGTTCGATAATAAGCCGTTGCTTCTCAATCATCCTATGTGACGTTTCCTTTTCACGTTGTGATTCAGCCTAACGAAGTAATCGTGTAGTGAGCCAAGACTGCCAAGAAAACCGGGTGGATTTACTGTATTACGTACAATCATGTCACGCATCGTTTGTTCCCATTCAGCAAGAGTAGCCTGAATTTTACGATGTTGTTCAGCACCTGCTGCTCGTTCAGCTTCCAATTCTCGTATTTCTTCTTGAGCCAATTCAAACTCTCTATCGAACTACAATAATGGACTGTGTCAGTACCCCGTATAAAAGCCCTGAGTATATCTACCGATAATGATTACCTCAAGTCGCATCTCTTGCCTAACTCTTTCCAAATCCTTTTCAGAGTACTTTAACGCACTAGCAGGCGATGCCAAAATATCGAGCAAAGCACCAGTAGGAATAACGTTTGCTTTGGATGGCTTTGTCGTCGAGTTTGAGGATTCAACAACTGAGTTCTTTGACGAAGTCATGCTCATCCAATCTGATGGAATCTCTACACTATTATTGACTGGCGTTGCTAATGGATCGAATTCACGAGACAAGGCAACTACCGGTGACTTTTCTGCTACATTATCTTCTCTACTGTTAGCCACAGACCCTGGACTCTGTTCTGGAGTCGCTTGAGTAGGAGTAGCTGTAGCGGTTGCAAATGACGATACTGAAGTTGACTGTGATAAGATATTGTTGTGGTGATGGTCTTTTTCAGGTAGATACAAGTCGGATTGTGCTCGCGAGTTATTGAATGGTGGTGCCTCGTCCAATAATGTCACATCAGCCTCGTTCATAAAGTCATCTACACTGTTTTTACCTATGGCTATTGCTCCAGCTGCTGCAGCTGCGACACCCCCACCACCACTAGTAGCTGCTTTATGCCTCAAGTCTAGCAAGCGACTCGGTTGAGCACCAGATTGACGTTTCTGAGAAGCTTCTGATAGCTTGAATGTTGGTGGTGTTGTAGCATGAATCCATGATTCCTTCGAAGCTTTATGTTCAGGTCTTGGTAGATTATGCAAATTATCATCTTCACCAGTATCGTCCTCTTCATATATAACTGGACTGTCGGGCAGCAATACGGATCTAGCTAAAGCTAAACTATTGGGAGTGTATGACAGTGGTGTTGATAATGGCAACATTGTGGTGATTGCTCTGGGAGTTGCGGGATCTGTCACATCATCAGCTTGCGACGATACGAGGTCGGAACCTAGATCTATGTCATCATCTAATACATACTGTGCCAATACATTCATTCTGCTATCAGTCTGCGGTTCAGCACTCAATGCGAGTTCGGGCACTGGTGTTCCCGGGACTAGATTGGGGCAATAACCAGCCAGGGGAATGTTTTGAGCCCCTCCCCAACGGATTGGTGATTGTAGAAATGAGCTTGGAGTGATGTTTCTGGTTTGACCAGTTGGACGACTGTATGTGATCTTGCTCGGAGTTGCTTTTGGTGGTGATGGTGAGAGCAGCTTGTGTTCTAATATCTTTGTTTCTATATCCTTTGCTTCTTCGGCAATCTAAATAGAATATAATGCATGAGCAATTGATCTTGCAAATGATCAATGGCAATTGTGGCCGACATCAACAAATGTGTTTTTAATGTTTGCAATGCAACCAAGCAAATCAATGAATTGGACAATAAAGAAGGTAATCAGTCCTCTAAACATACCGTTCTGACACCAGATACAGGAGATGACGTTGCCGACGATACAGCGTAAGCCAGTAATTTCCCAAAGAATGAGGGTTGAGTGTTTTCGTCAACTGTGGTCAATGTATCTGATGACGATGCGTCCAATTCGGTACGTTCTTCTGTCTCCGCTAATTCCATTCGATCTAATCAATTATTCGGCGCGAGTGTAAAGCTCGTTCCGTTCTTGTTCGTTGCAGGAGCTACTTGGAATGAATTTTGATTTTCTAAGAGCAGCAGCAATAACGTGAAATGCAAACTTCGTGTTGGCGAAAAGATCATATTTAAGTGCGAATAAATCAAACGATCGTAATATTTACAATGTATACTATCTTTGCAAGCTCCGATCTGTAGTAGCTATCCTATGAGCAAACACTAATGAACACATTGACTACTTTTCTGCCAATGCTGGCACTAACCGTTAAGCGTTCCTTTTCCTCTTACTCGACACATCACTACTACTACCAGCAACTCGATCTACCACATTCAAAGCTTGGGAATGCTCTCGACACCACTCATCAAAATCCACCTTCGAAGCCCTGATCTCAGTAAGCGCCGTCTCAATCGCCTCCTTACGAGGCAGCCACTTCCTCTTCCACTCATCATACTTCTTGGTCGCGTACGCATCTTGTTCGGCCTTAATGAAAACCTTCAAATGCGGCTTGTAATAAAACAGCACTTTGCCGGCATCTCCAACGTCATCTTCCTCGTCTTTCTTCTTTGAATAAACCAATTCAGGTCCAGAGCGCCCCAATTCTTCACCAGTGGCGCTTGGAAGACCTGTGATGAGTGTGTCTTTCTCAGCGAGTGTACATTTGGTCAGGTTTGCTCGTACAGTCTCAGTATTGATAATCTCTTTGTTGGTGATTCCCTTGTTGATACACTCGGTGCAAAGCGTAGTTCGGAATGCGAATATGGGATGGAGTTTCATGCGACGTTTTGGCTTAAGAAATTTAGGTTTTTGTAAGCTTGAGGCCTTCACACTGAAGCATTCGATTTCCAAGCAGCAAGAGTGGAATAAAGACGAGCATACCTTCGTTTTACACTCGTAGCAGGTCTCGGAGGTACACATATCTATGATCTGGTGAGTCAAAGTATCAGTATCAAAACCAGAGCGTGATACCAGGATACAGCCAATTCACCTCCTGGACAGTGACTCCAAGGGGATCCAAATCAACTCTATTCAATCGTTTGAAAGCGAAATCGATCCCGTCCTGTAGACTTGCCCTCCTGTGAAAACGAATTAATCTGGTAACTTGGGAGTGATGCAAGTCCAGATGCGATGCGAGCAATCCAAATAACAGGGAGCAGCTTTGCGTAGCTGATATCATACAATCCAAATGATCAATTCACCGATGTACCTTGTATGTTCTTGCTTGATCTCCTTCTTGATTTCCGTCTTGATCTCTTGTTTGTCATCTAGCTTGACATCAACCACCATTTCAACGTCTTCTTCCTCCTTCTTGACGTCTTCCTCCTCTTCCTTGACTATTGTCCGCTTCATCTTCTTTGCTCGTTCCTTTGAACTACTAGCTGGCATCGATATCTATACTACTGCGATTCAAACAGGTGCAAAACTGCAGCAGAAATAAGGCACGCGACAGTCAAGAAGCGAATTAGATATCTGACACGTTACTAATATTGCTAAATAATTTCGGTGTGAAAGCTCGTCCAGAGCCAACTGGAGTGTTCTCATAGGGCTTCTGATTGGAATTTCTATGCGAATCTTGCTGTTTTGTGTTTTGTGTCTCGCGGAGTCAACATGTCGCGTTTATTTTCAATGAAATGAGTCACTTCACTTTTGGACTTTTGGCATCGAATCCAATAACAAAAGCAACAAAAGAGGATAAGAATGCCTATGCAAGGCACCCCACCGTCATAGGACGAGTAATTAGCATCGCAGCATGTCCAAATCCACCTAACTAAACCCGACGAGTGATAATATCTACATTGCTAAAGCTAAAGATTCAAACTATACAAGTATGAATTCTAAGATCGTGTCAGAGTACGCAATGATTCCGGAAGCTGTATCCTGGAATCTCTTGGTAGAAGCGGCTGAAGCCTTGTTAGCGCTCCAGATATAGCACCTAGTAAATCTCGAGTGTGCTGTGCGTGGCTCTTGATATTGCTCACTAACGAAGCAATTATAAATCTGATTGATTGTTATAGAGAGATAATGTTTCACATTAGTACAAACCTGCAACCAGTTGATCTCGTTGCGTCCTAGCTTGAGCGACACGGTTTGCCAAAGTATTTGCCAACTAAAATGAGAATGTTGCGTTTGAGATCGCAGCAATCAGCACAATCATTCAATACCAAAGCTAGGTATGGTACCTTGGCACAATGCTCATCAGAATCAATGACATGTGAAACCAGTATTTGTTGATCCCTCGACACCCGTTCAGCACATTTGCGTATGTGGACTTGACAATTGTGGAACATAGAGTCGACATGCATTGGATTGAGTCCTCCAACTAATAGAAGAAGGAATTAGATTGCCATGCATATCAAAAGCGTGTAGGATTGCTACCTGCGAGGTCAAGATCACGTCGTGGCATAGCACCAGTCAAGAGTCCAGAAAATGAAAATGAAGGTCCCAATGATAGTGGAAGCACCGGATCAAACTAGCATTGGTTGAATGTGTGAGATTCGTTCACAGAGCTTTGATCAAATCACAAACCTTCGGAATCTTGCTCAACAATTTCAATTCTTCTTCATCTTCTTCAGGCGACAGGCTGGCCTCCGTTACTTTGACAATACCTCCCTAAGGTCTAAACATCAGTATCAAATGTTTGAAACAGCCAAATGTCAAATGTTTCCTTACAGCCCGCTTCCATGGATCTCGTTGATTTGCAGAGCCCATAACGTCACTTATCGGTGCATTTACAGCCAGCAATAATGCCTCACTTAGCGAGTTTGATGATGATTTCTTCAAAACGGTTGGTGAGTTTAGTTCAGTATGAAGTCGTGACGATTGCGAAGAATTGGTGCCTATGAGAGTAGACTGAGGACGCGATAATGACGACGATGAGGTTGGTGGCGCTGGTGAGGCTTCTTCTTCTCCTGGCAGGAACTGCCTCAAAAAGTTCATAATGTTTTAATCCTCGTAGCATTCGAAGGGTATGAAGATCTGGCACACTAAGATTTCGAGATTAGATTAATAATGAACGCGTCATTTGGCTGTTCCTCTGTCGATTCTTTGATCGCTGCACTCAGCTAGACGTGTCAGTCTCGTGCCTACCACCCGAAAACAGTCGTCTCAGTACAAAGAGTAACGGTTACGGATAGCAAAATCAAACGTTACACTATGGACATATGTATACTATGGGTGCAAGCTGGATCCAAGACAATCAAAACTATACAAACAATCCCCCAGAAAGCGAATAGAATGAATACACAACTACATTTCTGCATTGCTACGTAACAAGATCACACAGCTCTAAATATTCCTTCGTCTCTTGCCGCGAGCAGCCTGCTGATCATTATCAGCATTAGCGTGCCCATTCTCCCGACACCAAGTGTCCCACCTCTTCTTTGCAGCTGTGATTTCTGCGAGCCCCGTATCAATCAAACGCTTGCGAGGCGCCCATTCCCCCCGCCAGTACTGGTACTTTGCGGGGTCTGCATGCGTGTACGCATCCCTCTCTCCCTCAAACGCTTCCTCGAATTCCGATGTCAAATAAAAGACACCTGAATGCTCATTCGCTGGAAATCCAGCAAGTTGCTGTCCCGTGACGCTTGGAAGACCTTCCAAAAAGAAGTTTTTCTCGTCTTTGGTGCATCCAACAATCTTGACCAGGGCTGCTTTGTGGGTGATTACTAGTTTGGATCGGAGGCAATCGTAGCAAAAGTTTCCTTTGAATGCGAAGAGTCGGGAGAGCATGCCTAGAGCGGGCTAAATGTTTAGGTTTCGTGAGTAAGATCGTGTTTCAAGTACACACATCCAACCAACATTCCAAACGTCCAGAGTATGGCATAGACCAGCACACCTCTTTTTCACACTTGTAACAGGTATTGGTTGTACACATCTTTATAATCTAGTATGATGTAAGAATCAAAGCATCAGCATCAAAACCTTTTCGACAACCAAGATCTATATAACAGTGCTTTACCTCGGCGACAGTGATACCAATAACTTCCAATTCAGCAACATTGTTCAATTGTTTGAATGCCAATTCAGTTCCTTCCTCTGTACTGGCACCGCCTTTGCTGGTGTGATGACTACTAAGATGGTTTGATGAGAATAAGAATCAGTACATAACACGACAACGAATATACAGGATAACATGAAATACTGTTGAAATAAGTGATATGATCAAGACCGAGTGAATTTACCTTGAGGACTCTGCCTTGACTTCTTTCTTGACTTTTGGTTTTACAACTACGGGTAGATCGTCCTCGTCGACGAAAGCTACATCGTCGTCATCTTCCTGATCCTCCTCTTTGACTATTTTGCGTTTGGACTTGTTTGAAGTATTAGCTGGCATTTTATGTTTACCTATTTTGGCGTCACAATGTTGTTCCTTGCACCAATACCATATCCAGCCAGGGTCAACAGAATTTACTTATTAAGGGTCCAAGTCCTTCTTGTCAATAATGTGCAATATATTCAAATGGGCAAAGGGAAATACAAACGTATATAAGACCCTTTTACAATAGGCGACATCTTAAACTAGAAAAGTTGAGTCCAACGATGGAATGATGCGGATGTCGCGCTTCGTGACGGTCATTTGATGTTAAAATTGCATATGTTCATTCATTTCTCTCCAACTTCGTCGATCATAGTCGTACCCCTTTGGCATGATACACGTCCAAGCAGTCAATACAGTGCAGCATCGACAAGTATGCCGTTACCCGCAGTTAGAGCAAATATCAGACGTACACATCTCTATGACCTAGTGTAACATAATCAAAGTACTAGCACAAAAATGACAAAAGTCCAAACAACAACATCGAATTTCCCAGTGGTTTTCCTCCTTCACACTGACACCAATAGCCTCCAATCCAAAACAATTGTTCAAATCGCTGAATGCGAATTCTATTCCTTCGTCTTTACTTGCACTGCTTCTCCTGTAAAGTGTCCAATGTTCAATGATAATCGACGTGTAAGATAACAACAAATACAGCATCAACGACATAAAATCAAAAGGCAGAGAAGCTGGAGTATTCGACTTATTTTGAGGACCCTATCTTGACTTCCTTCACCAAGCCCTTCTTTACCTTACGTTTTACATCGACGGCAAAAACATCACAGACATAACAGGGCCAGAAAGTGTAAACTCGACAACCATTTCAACCTCTTCCTCCTCGTCTGCTTCTTGACGTTTGGCTCGCTTTGGTGCTGCACCTGTCTGTGTACTCCTAGCCGGCATTTTGGAATTATGCGTGTCGTGGGTAGTTTGTTTTGTTGTGATGTGATATAAATTGGACGGTTGTGATGACATGTTGGGGGAACTTGCCACATGAAGACCTCGAAGAGTTAGATTTCAACGTGTCAAACGTCTTATAATCTAGTAATTTGACGTTTTATTCTACAAAATACGCAGGGAAACACAAATATTGGCATTGAAGCAAACAATACGTACCCTATTATACCGCAACTATCAACCATTACACATGAGTATCCTTCATCATTCCTTTGTTAGCCTTCTATTTCCAGCTGTGCTTTCAACTTAAGAATGAATGCATGAGAAGGATCCTGTTTAAATCTAGCCCACAAGAGCTTCTCAAACTGTGCTGGATCCCAAGAGGCGTCAGCGAGGTCCACGGACGTTCTGCCAGCATGATTATAATATGTTCCAATGCACGACGGCTAGTGAATCTTATGGCTGATAATACTGATCCTGTTGCGTCATATTGGTCCTGGCTGTCAACCATGACACCGAATGGGACCAAGTTCAAGTATTGGATGACCACTTCGATACGTTATGCATCAAAACATCTGGTATACCATGCGGATTTCCTGGTAGCCAACGTCTGAGTGACTCCATCTTATATAGCGTCATCATCTTTATCGTGCATGCCATGAAGGCGAAGCTTGTCCAGATTTCGAGCGTACTTCATCAGGCTGACAAAGTGGGCCCATACGTCAGCTTTACGTAGACTATTGCAACCATTTTCGAGAAGCGCGACTCGTTGTTCATCAAGATACAAAAGACCATCACTGCCAGTGGTAGGTAAATCGAAGTATGAGGAACAATTCTCGAACTTCAGGTTCCCCATGTAAAGATACCATTTACACTCTGAATCAATAGCGTCAACATAACCAAAAGCTCTGCTACTAAAACGGAGTCCCTTGACGTGTTTTAGAGCATCCTAGCCGTCCTGTATCGTTTGCAAGTATGACATCCAAGTTGTGATACAGAATCGACGACCACCAGCACCAGACGGAGGAGGGAATGATTTGTAGAGTAGACAAAGAGCCTATTTGAAGTGTTTATGAATACACACTTGAATACCAACTGCTTGACTGAAGTTTCGAGATTCTTACACATTCGTTCATTTCTTTAGATGCCAATGCTACTTGAGCAAGACTTTTGGTATCCAAATATCTATCAGCTTCTACATATCCAAGTACTATGTCAATAATCTCAATGGGCACGGCTCGTCTCGTCCATCTTGGTTGTTTGTGGAGGAATGGAACAACACGCGCAATAAGTATTTGAATTCAATCAGCTCACCTGACGCGTTGAAATATTGTGATTTGAGATTTAATTCTATACCATTGGAGAAATTCACTGACAATCGAGGGATTGTGGTCAAACCTTGGACGTTTTTACCGTTTTTCTGATAGCAGGCAACTGCAAAGGATAATATCCACACGATGGGCTGATCTGGACATTTCCATAAAGAAAGTACTTTTATGCTCTGTAGCGGTTGTTGATATGACATCAGCTTCTGTGAATTCTTTGCCTAGTACATCCAGGTAAAGGAGTCCAAAAACCTACTATTTCCACTGAAAGGTGAGAGATTTTTATACAAACGCCGGACTAATGCATAGTACCAGTCTTTGCAAACAAGAGGTGCTGAATGCAAGGTCTTGGTTTCCAAAGGACGGTCGAAGAGGATGCCCAACATGACTAGTGGTAACGGAGGCATGGCAGAGCGACTCCGTTTTTACATAGCTTAATCGACGTGTTGATGTCTTGAACCTAATAAACCCTATCAGTGTTAGCGCTTAAAGCAAATGTTGATGTTTATTTAATGTTGAATTCCAAAAAAGACATTGCAGGCTCTTAAGGTGAAAAATGAAGACGAGATTACGAGATAGCAAAATAAACGATGTTTGTTGCATTTGAGCCTCCCAAATAACAAGCAAGATAACAAGCAAGCAAACACTACGACAAGAAATTGTTCGCAGGATGTACCTCTACAAGACGCACAGTTCTTAGAAGGATTTACTTGAATGGACCTATTGGAAATATGTGCCTGCGGCTGACGGATGCTTTACAGTCGTAGACGCTATTCACTAGCTCGTAGGATGCGAAGCCAACTGACAAGCCTGATGAGGACAGAACTATGAGACCTGATTCGCCAATACACCTTCAATTCCAGGCAAAAAACGCGTCATCTTGCCGTTCATCGCGATTCAGCTCATCCTGTATATCTTGACAAGATGATCTTGTTCATGGTGTTGCGACGACAAACGAACAAATACGATGTATTGCAGTTCAAGCAAAATCTTATTATCTACTTCCTCTTCCACATTGATATCTTTTCTTGCCCTTGACGTGGCGCAAAAGACTCACAGTCTCTGACAAACATGCATTCAAAGGTCTCATCCAATAGTTCGTGATATAAATCAACGTTCAAGGCATAGGGCGGACCTCCTTCATACGAGGCGAGTGGAAACATTAGACATATCAGAACTCCACCAGGTTTTATAGCTTCTGACATCCTAGCAGCCCATGGTTTTCGTAGTGATGGACTCAGAGCACAGAGGAAGGTGTAATCTATAATTTGGAGGGTCAAAGACTGAAGTAGTAGAGGCGAAATCAAACGGAACTCATTACCGAAAACAACGTCAAAGCGGTCTTCCAAATCAAACTTGAAAAAGTCTCCACAAATAAACTTTACTTTGTCTTCAGAGATGCCGAGTTTGTCTCGATTCTAAGCAATTGAAAACATCAATGCAATGTATACTTGCCCAAAATCAGGAGATACATACCTGTTCGGCGAGAGCAACACCAGAAGGGGCTAAATCCACTCCAACAGCGGTTCTGTTTCCACTACTGGCAAACAGGAAGCAATCGTATCCACCTCCACAACCAGGAACTAGAGCTCTGCCTTCGGGAACAAGGCCCGGTTCTTTGCATAGGTTTACAAGTGCTGGCGAGGAGACTCCTTGATCCCACTAAGCAGTGACAATGTTGAGCAATTCAAGTACACGTAATTTGTTGGAACCACCACGTACAAGTGTCAATTTCTTTTGCCATGCCTGTTCCCAACCTATATGTGAATTTATGAAACCGGTGAGTGGATAGTAACACCACACCTGGTGACATGATTATGTCAATCCAGCTGTCGACTTGACGGGAAACTCAAGCGCTCTTCACATCCTCATAAGTCAAATGGATTTTCCATCCCAATTCAGCACCTGTACATACCATCTTCAGAGGCGTTCACAACAGCCTGCATTTGTTTCCTGATTTCAGGCTTGACGCCGCCTACAGTAGTCATGTTTCGCAGTATGAATCTGTTGAAGGACTGTCGAATTCTTCTGGCGAATAGAGTAAGTGAGCTCAGCAGTAAATGTCGTTGTAGTAGTTTCAAAGAAGCACGCATTTGAAATTTGCTGACAAAGACGTCTTGAAAACACCTCAATATTCTGCATTGCACGTGCTATTTGGGCCTCTTACAATCAATTAGATTAATATTCGCTCTCTAACCTTTTGGTTGCGGGCTTATCGCGTTGGCAATGCCGGAAGTGTTGATCACGTCGTTGTCAAATCACCGCATCTTCAAACAGTGAAGCTAACACGCTAAAGAACACCTTAACAGAAACTCTAACAGGTTGGAAATGAGGTGTCTTCATTTGAAAGAGAAGAACGTACGTTGATTCAACTTAAACAAAGGCTGGTGGGGCTGGAATCCCAGTCACCCTCAACTTGAACAAATCATTCTTCACGATCTCGTCTTTCGGCTTTACGTATGCTTCATCCACATCATTGTTGGCAGACAGATATCTACCAGCAAGATGGTTTGCTGCGTCAGTTGTCAACCATACCGTGAAACCACCAGCTAGCTTTGGATCATCGATAAGATGCGGCTCAAGCATAGCCCAACTAATGGCAGAAAGGGAACATTGGTTTGATTAGCTGAAATTGTCGAATCACCGCGCTTTCGACACTTTTATCCACTGCCACCAAATGCTTACTACTCCTTTGTCCGTTCATCCTGAGCCAATTTATCCGCCATACTCGTTTTAGCACCGCATGGATGGATGGCATAAGCGTATATTCCTTGTGGATACAGCTCGTTATGTAAAAACTCGGTGAATCGGATTTGAGCTGCTTTGCTGGTTCCATATCCCGATACACCTTTCATTGCAATCGTTCCTGATTAATGAATTCATAAATGTCAATTCATACATAATTTGAGCTTGTTTGTATTTTGTTTCAAGCCTCGTCTTTTGAAGTTTTCTTTGTGCGCATTTACCTCCAATAGAAGCAATGTTGATAATGACTCCACGTTTAGGCCCGTCGTTTTTCAACATGTGAGGTAGAGTGAGTCGAGACATGAAGGCAACACCCTAATTGGGAAACGTTTGATACTTTCCAATTGACTGACACGGGAGTTCGACGATAAATTTACCTTCATATTCACGTCAAAAGTTCCAGCCCACTCTTCCGGATCCGATTCAATAAAGTTGAGCCATATCTCAGAGATACCTGCGAGAACGACAAAAGCTGGTCAACTCTTTGACGAAAAGATGAATCTAAACGGTTCAAACGGATGAAGGCCTACCAGCATTGTTTACGAGAACATCGATTCTCCCAAACTTGGCAATAATCTGCTCCACAGAGGACTTTACATCAGCCAAAACTGAAATATCAGCTTTTACACACAAAACATCACATTTGGGATTAGCTTGTTTGCATTCTGTGGCCGTTTCAGCCATTTGGCCGACAGTTCGTCCAGTAATAGCGATTTTCGTACAGCCAGCTTGAGCAAAAGCTAAAACAAACAGCGTTATGAGAAGTTCGTCAAATGTCAATCCGATGTTAGAGCGTTGAGTATATTACCAACTGCCATGAATCTTCCTAATCCTCTAGAAGCCCCCGTAATAACGACCTAGTAAGAAATATTGTCCATATCAGCGCATTGGTTTGGTTGCTTTTCGTGGATTTGCAACAAAAAACATATTTGCTCACCACTTTGCCCACTGCTGCATCTTTAAGATCTTTGGCGGGATCAATCGCATCGTATAGAGCCGTACGATAAGCAGCCATTCTTGTTTTCGGAAGAAAAGGATGAGGTTTCTCCTTTGTGTATCGGGTTTGCTGTTATCGACGTGTCAGTTTGTATTCTGGACGCAAAAACCAACCATGGTCCAGCCGTGTTTCTGCTCCTCGCGGAAAAGGTGACGGTAATGATTTCAGTCGCGAAACAATAATTTGATCGTGCTTAAGTTGTCAACTCGATGAAGCTTTATTTCTGTCGAATGTTTATGTTTTAGTGTTCATCGAGTTTTCAGTCTATCGCCATTAAACGAAAGCTGGTGGAGCAGGTATTCCAGTGACTCTTAGCTTATAGAGATCGTTGGTTACAATATCGTCTTTTTGTTTGGCATAGACTTCATTGACGTCATCGTTAGCCGTGAGGTATCGTCCGGCAAGATGGTTTGCTCCATCAGTAGTCAAATAGACAGTAAAGCCTCCAGCAATTAATGGATCGTCGTTAAGGAATGGTTCCAACATGGCCCAACTAAAACAAAGTTACAGGTTAAGAACATATCAACCTCAAACAGGGAGCACTTACCCCTTCTTTGCCCTCTCATTCCCGACAAACTGATCTTGCATAGATGTACGAGCAGCACAAGGATGAATGGCATATGCGTATATTCCTTGAGGGTACAGCTCATTGTGCAAAAATTCAGTGAATCGAATTTGAGCAGTTTTGCTGGTTCCATATGATGAGGCCGTCGGCAAAGCCATCGTTCCGGCTCCTGATGCTACGTTGACAATGACTCCACGTTTTGGTCCTTCATTCTTCATCATGTGAGGCAAGACAATTCTAGCCATGAACGCAACGCCCTACGAATTTATCGTATGAGATTTGGTAGCTTGAAGCCTAATCCCTACGGGTCAGCTCACCTTGACGTTCACATCAAAAGTTCTAGCCCATTCCTCAATGTCTGCATCAATGAAATCGACCCATAATTCAGAGATACCTGTTTGCGATGCATTTGGTCAGAAGACTAAATTTGAGCAATACTAGAGTAGAGCGGGACCTACCAGCATTGTTTACGAGAACATCAATTCTACCAAACTTGGCAACAATCTTCTCCACCGATGACTTGACATCAGCCAAAACAGAGACATCCGCCTTAACACACAAAACATCACACTTTGGGTTTGCCTTTTTGCATTCGGCGGCGGTTTCAGCAAGCTGCTCCACAGTTCGTCCAGTGATTGCGATTTGAGTGCTTCCAGCTTGAGCAAAAGCTAGATTTTTTGAACGAAACGTGTGAGCACATGTTGCACGACATTAGTTTGATGTATCGGGTTAACAGTAGTTGAGCGTACCAACTGCCATAATGCGGCCTAGGCCTCGAGAAGCACCGGTTACGATGACCTAACATTCAATGGCAAAAGTTAGTTTTGGTGGTTTGATTTTCCTCTCCATCATGGTGGGCCAAAGCACAACGCAGTTGTGACTTACGACTTTGCCGGTAGCAGAATCCTTCAGTCCTTTAAGGGGATCGATTGCATCGTATAGAGCTGTATGATATGCGACCATGTTGCTACCTGAGATGTTGTCGGACAGAACTCGGTTCTTAGTAGGAAAGCAGACAGAAGCGAAGTTGTAAATGATATACAAGGTTCATTCGGCGCAATGGAATCGAAGCAGAGATAGAAACTGACTTTTATCCTACTAAGGTTGCTTTATTTACTACATGACTACACGCAAATGCCCTTCCTACTATCACTGGAGCGACATCGCGTCTAACAGAACAACAAACAACAATCAGTCAACCAATTGACAGTCTTTCTTTCCAACATCAGCACCACGCACATACCTTCCTCACAACTTGGTTCCACAATGACAAGATCCAGCAGGACATTGACATCCTCCACCACACTTGACACAGACTCCAACCTTGGCAGCAACACACCCACATCCTGATGATGTTTTGCATTGGCATGTTCCTGGAGCACATTTGCACTTGTTGGCTGTCTTGGTTGGAGTAGCATCACAGGTGCATGTGGGGCATTTGCAGGGTGAAACACAGGTGCAAGGCATGATGAGCTGTATAGTGATGACGAAGAAAGTGGAATTAGAAAAATCTTGCGATTGCTTTGAAATACAGTGAAGTATGCTAAGAGGAAAAGAGGAAGGCATGTTCTTTTGAGAACTTACCTGTTAGAAAGTGGTTGGTTTTGTAGCTGTTTGCTTTAGCTGTTGGTTTATCGAGTGTTCGATCTAAGTAGAGGAATGTACTTGGTGAGTCTCGAGCGCTGGAAAGTAGTGAATTAACATTCTGCATACATTTTATATGTCGAGTTTGATGCTAAGAACTGACGAAAGACTTTGCACGCTTTTTATACTCTGACGCAAAACACTCTCATTCTGGGGCAAATGTTGCTCAACCTTTGACATGTGAAAGAGAAGCAGATGGAAGAATAAGATACAATTTTGCACTCATATTACGGAGTATTATATAGGGATTTGGCAGTAGATGCTTCTTGATCTGTTCAACAATACAAGTTTGCGGGACCAGTATGCATTGAAAAAATTCATGGCGCAGGCGCGAATACTACATGGATTCCTCATTAAAGTCGAAGTTCAATAATCTGCAAATATATTCCAATTCAAAGCGAAATACAACCATATGTATATCCGTTATTCTAAAATAGGGAAGTTGAGTCCAACGATGGCATGATGAGGGTCAAACGTTTGTTTTTGATCAAAGCCTTCCATTTAATAGGAGCTGAATGGAATTCTTCGATGCTAACACGAGCTTGAGCGCCACGAGGAGATCAAGTAGCCAGCCATTCCTCCTCTTTACCAGATTCGAAGGCAACTCTACATGCTACTTGAGCGACTTTGACATCTTCCTTGATGTAATGCTTTGTTCTTTTGGTCTTTCCAAGCAATTTATTGGCTTCGGCATACGAAATGCAAAGACATATATCAGCTTTAACGTCATTATCCGTGAAAAGCTCATGGAAACTTTTGGCACATTTGCGCCTGTGCACATTTGCGTGCACAGGTTTCACAACAGCATCTACGAAAGGCCCATATAAGAGTTAGTTGCTTTTGCGTCTCTATCATGGCAGTCATCACAGTTTTTAGAGTGAGTACACGAGGTTGCTGGCTGACTGGCTGACTGGCTGAAGGCTGAAGATCGTTACTAGCAAGAAAAACCAACTGCGGTTTCACGGTCGAAGCACATATATGAAATTACTTTGCTTGGGATAATACGATGATAACTACGAGTCCGCTACCTGAAACCA